TGTACCGTTCAACACAGAGTTAGAATTAGTAGTAGATCACCATAAAGACAATGCGTACTTCTAGGAGACATCGGTGATGCTAAACGTCTAAATTTCGAAACTCAGGTGGCGACGGAAGAAAATTTGAAATTGACAGAAATGTGTGAAAAATTAGATGCTGTGCACGCATTGAAAACGGATGTTCAAGTTGTTTAAAAGAAAACGATTCAATGTCTTACCCGTTTAAATTTCAATATGACAAACGATTGAAGGAGTGTTGTCCTTTCTGAGGTTGCGCTGAAAAAATGTAGATTTTCAATTGCTCTATATCTCGAGAATTGATTATGAAAGTCACATATAAAGTTGATGTTGGAGGCAGTATGTTTAGAGGGTTGTATACTAATGTATCGATCCCTCAAATGATACTTTTAAATTAGTTTTCAGGTCATCAATTTAAGAAACTGGAAAAACCACTTATTGCATTTCAAAAATTGATAATTATCCTCCGTCGACTTACAAATAAGGTATGTTAATTCCCCTTATAGGTAAAACCACAACGGAACCACCAAGCATAAATAGTGTAGACTTATTTCAGTTATATTACAGAGGGTGAAATTACAGTTAGAGGATAGGGTAGATATGGCGGAGTAGTTTGAAGGGAACAGAATTGAGAGAAGGCTTTATCTTTATGGACAATATCGATTTCAAAATCTTTAGTACAAATATTTTGCAGAGGACTGAGCACTCTCACTATCAAGTTGATTGATTTCAAAATATAATCCATTGATCGGGAGGCAATTACTACAAACTGTTGACTATAAACTTATTAGAATTTTTTCATTTATTAATTCCTAATGATGATTTTCTCTGATGAATCGAAAGAGATAAAATTAAAGTTAAATGCTTGTTAATTGTTATAAGTATTATCAGTAATTAATCATTTAAATCCTATCATATTTCGTTGATTTCTTTTTTTTCTAACTTTCTATGTTTTACATATAAACAAAATTTTTTCCATCTCTTACATAAGTTTGTTTATCCCGCCATTTTTAAGGGTAAAATCAAAGAAAATCAAGGGTATTTGTAAACAGAATCAAGGGTCTTCGTAAAGGAAATCACGGGTATTTGTAACGGAAATCACGTGTATTTGTAACGGAAATCACGGGTATTTGTAACGGAAATCACGGGTATTTGTAACGGAAATCAAGGGTATTTGTAACGGAAATCACGGGTATTTGTAACGGAAATCAAGGGTATTTGTAACGGAAATCACGGGTATTTGTAACGGAAATCACGGGTATTTGTAACGGAAATCAAGGGTATTTGTAACGGAAATCACGGGTATTTGTAACGGAAATCACGGGTATTTGTAAAGAAATCAAATGGTATTCATAAAAAGAATCAAGGGTATTCGTAAAGGAAATAAAGGGAAACGAACACACACGCCAATAATTGTTCCAAATTATCGATTGTGAAAACTTACATTGTAAACAAAATTTAAAACATGTTTTCTACATGCCAATATCCAAATAAAATTCCCCACAGGACGCTTAAAATACTGACTATCTATATATGCTATTATGTTGTATGTTCGCTACATACTCTTTTCAAAGATCCTAGATTTGTTGCGAGACAGACGCAAGGCCAGATTGCCACTTGTGTCGCGACTTGCAACTACAAAATACTTTTGATTCCAAAGAGTACCGTCGCGTGCATGCTGTGAATCTGACTCTGTATATGGGAGAATTTTTATGATTTCATTTATTCGCCATTTAGAAAATGGCCTCTCTCTCATTTAATGGTTATTTTTCGCAGAATGCTTCTTACTTATCTAAGATATAAAGTTGATCTGTATACGACGTTCTGTTAGGGAAGGTATATATGTTCACTTAGTGGTTGATGGTATTGGAGACAAGAACTTGGTCGGATATACATATGTTTTGGCTTTTATTTGACTTACTGGTAATCAATAAAAACTCGATTAGATGCGAAAAAAACATTTTATAAACGTTTCAATTCTTTCTGGAAGTTATTTCTATTTCGGACAAAAACAATTATTTCTATTCAGAATTTAAAATGAAAGTTGTGTGCTGGAAGTTTGATTTAATTCAATGCCGAAATGACTATACTTTTATCAATGATGCATGTGCAGTTTCCTTGCGCATGATAATATGGACCTTTTAAAGCCGATTCGCTTGCCTTGAATTTTGGAATCACTATCCCGTTTCCAGCTTTGAGAACGTTCTAGAATTCCTGAATCGATCATTTTGAAACAGTATGTTTATCGTCAATGTTTCAGGTAATTTTTCTTTCTGCTCTTTTTTTAAATAGCATTTCTGTTAATCTTTAACATGCTGGCATTTCCTTCGGTATGGTAGATATCGAGTTCAAACAATGGATTAATTCCATTACTGTGTTCTATTTAAGCGACACCAATGTTTCTATAAGTATATTAATATCATACTTCAAAAAGCGTGTCATTTCCATGACGTAAAAGTCACCTAGTACCAACTTTTGACATTAAGTGCCACAAACATATTTTCTAAGCGTGTCCTGATGTATCATTGGACGGACCATCCTCTGTTTACAGACCCATTACCTCGTGTAACGCCATTACAGTCGGTGACCACTTACATATACACGATTTATGTCCTGGTGTATATTCTGTGAATACAGGAAAGCAATATTTTGTTGAATCATTTTGACAAGGGTAAACGGTCTGTTGATATGATTAGAGATATCCACTATGCATTTGATGGTCGTATATGACTATGGATAACAAGATTTGACGTCTATACGACCTTTGGCCACGCAAGGACAGGATCAACCCTGATTGGCTGCGACTGCTGGCCAGACCTTACGGTCCCCTGAGACATCATTTGAATACGCGGTGGCGGCATTGGATCAGATAGCTTACTTGAAAATCGGCGCACTGGGTTTACTTACTAGTCCTAAGCTCGCAAGGACAATCTAAAAAAATATTTTTTGCTCAGAACAGTATGGAAAATGGCAATTTATTTCTAGTGTGCCTACATCCCCAATGGACTTCACGATTGCCATTTTGTAAATTGTTTGTGATGGGTTTCGTTCTTTCCGACAATGCGACAAACCTCATATAAATCAATCAAGGTCATTTTGCATATATTCAACAGTATGATGTATGGCCATGTGCTCAAAGAAAATGCGTATACTCCCAGAGTTGTCCATTGTGAGTGTATTTCTCACTACCTTAGCCGCCTGATACAATCTGTCACTCGACGATGATGTAAATTATTCAGTTCAGGGGAAGATTTATTTTCAAGGTGATGATTCAAACCAATCCTTTGTATGGATATTTTGTTCACGTAAAATGATATTTATGATATTATTATGCTCTCGATAGATTCTGAATTAAGAAGGAATTTGAGGAAAACATTGCCGTGTTAGTGGTATCACCGATGTTTAATAAATAGTCCTGGCTTACCGTCCACTCATAGGTTTTTCAGTATTATGACTAAATTTGCTTTTAAGTAAATATATAAGTACCTCCATTTTTATCTTCAACATGCATTCATTTTGCATAGATAAGATTACAATTTTGCTAATGTGTATTCGAGATTTGTGAGTTAGGGAATTCACGCCTTCAGACAAATTGAATATAACATGGGCAATATAAACAGTAGAAGAAAAGATAGCCAGTAGTATGACACCATACATGCTATGTTGACGATAAGTTTGAGAGGTTCGTCTCCATACACATTTAAAGCACATTCTGCCATTCCATCGAAAACCAGACTGCTCTGGTTCCTTTGCACTTATATTGTATTAAGTATATGATATCAGGACCGATTTGTTTTGTGTTGTGTTAGGTATCAGATAAAAGGACCGACTTGATTTGTTCTGTGTTAAGTCTATCATAACAGGAGCAACTTGTGTATTGTATAAAGTTTATGATAACATGAACGACTAATTTTATTCTGTATTAAGTATATGCTAACAATAGCGACTTGTGTATTGTATCGAGTATATAATAACAAGGCCGGGTTGTATTAAATATACTATAACAGGGCTAGTTTGTTGTGTTCCATAACAAATATTTATCGAGCAGGACCGTCGTGGTGAATATTGTGTTAAGTCTATGATACACAAGCAACTTGTATATGATAACAAGAGGGACTTGTGTTCTGTGTTAAGCAAATTATAACAGAAGCGAATTCTTATGTGTTGTATTAAATATACTGGTTGCGTTAAGTATATAATAACAGGACCAACTTGTTTTTCAATGACCTGTTGTGTATTGTATTAAGTATATGACAACAGGGCTGACTTGTTGTGTAACGATTTGTTGTGTGTTGCGATAAGGATATAATGATAAGACCTACTTGTGTTTGGTATAAGATATCAGGACCGATTTGTTGTGTGTTGTATTAGGTATATGATAACAGGACCGATGATAACAGAAGCGGTTATATTTCAATTCCGACTGATAATTTCTATACAACCGTATTTTGATTTAATTTGTCATACATGTAAGTGCAAATTATTGTTTACAAGCTTACCGGAAAATCTTATCTGATTTATACTCTATTTCAGGAGCCGATGAAGACACAAAAGACAAAAGAACTTTCTTGCGCTTCGGCCGCGCCTTAACTGGTGATGCCTTCTTTAGATTTGGAAGAAATCCAGTCCAGTTTGAAGACAAGCGTTTCCTTAGATTCGGCAGGAACGGTGGAGGCGAAGGAGTGGAAGAGCTGCTCAGACATGCACTGAACAAAGTCGAAAGTCTTGAACGAACCACTGGCTTGAAGCTGAGACGAAAACGTTCAGCTGAACCTATACAGCCAGTGAAAAACGTAGACGAGATTGCAGAGGCAGGAAAACAATCGGAAGAAGCAAACAAAGCAGATACCGACAAAAAGAAACGCGATGCAGATGATTCAGATGAAAACAAAGACAAGCGCTTCATGCGATTTGGCCGTACCCCTGGTGATGAGAGCAGCGACGACGACATGGAAAAACGTTTTATGCGATTTGGACGTTTCATGCGTTTTGGGAAAAGCGGTGATGAAAAGCGTTTCATGAGATTCGGTAAAAAATCCGATACAGAAGGTGATGAGGGTAAAGATAAGCGGTTTATGAGATTCGGCAAAAGATCTGATGATGAAATGGAGGCAGACAAACGGTTTATGAGATTCGGCAAAAGATCTGATGATGAAGTGGAGGCAGACAAACGATTTATGAGGTTCGGCAAAAGGTCTGACGATGAAATGGAGGCAGACAAGAGGTTTATGAGATTCGGCAAACGGTCCAACGATGAAATGGAAGCAGACAAACGGTTTATGAGATTCGGCAAACGATCCAACGATGAAATGGAGGCAGACAAACGGTTTATGAGATTCGGCAAAAGATCTGACGATGAAATGGAGGCAGATAAAAGGTTTATGAGGTTCGGCAAAAGATCTGATGATGAAATGGAGGCAGACAAACGGTTTATGAGATTCGGCAAAAAATCTGACGATGAAATGGAGGCAGACAAAAGGTTTATGAGATTCGGCAAAAGATCTGACGATGAAATGGAGGCAGACAAACGGTTTATGAGATTTGGTCGTGATGGCGCTGATGAAAAAAGGTTTATGCGATTCGGAAAGAAATCTGATTTTGAGAACGAAAAGGATAAAAGGTTTATGAGATTCGGGCGTGATGGAGCTGATAAAAGGTTTATGAGATTCGGACGCGCCGGTACCGACATGGAACAAGACAAACGATTCATGCGATTTGGAAAGAGGTCTGATGAAACTGATAGTGATATGGAAGAAAACAAACGATTTATGAGATTTGGCAGAGCTGGAGAAGACGAGAAACGTTTTATGAGATTTGGTCGCAACAACAACCAGGATAAACGATTTACGCGTTTCGGCAGAAGTGGCGCTGACGATGAAAAAAGGTTCATGCGATTTGGAAAATCTGTTGATCATGATGATAAGCGTTTCATGCGATTTGGTAGATCAGGACAAAATGAAGACAAACGCTTTATGCGATTTGGTAGATCAGGTCAATTAGAAGATAAACGCTTCATGCGTTTTGGACGTTCGGACAGTTCTGGTGACAGTGAAGCAGAGAAACGATTTATGAGATTCGGAAGATAAACCAAACATATAGACTAAGCAATGAGGCATCTATGCTTCTAAGCCAAATGACACGTGACGAGACAAAGAAGATGATTCGTTGTTATTATATTGTAAATAAACTTATTATGTATATACAGATTGCGCATGTTCTTTCCGGAAAGAACACATATATTGATATTACTATGAGATATGTTAACAGAATATTATTTTCATATGTATATTTAACTTTTAAAACTGCTCAGTATTCCTAGGGGTTGGCATATAGGGGCCCGTTCGCTAAAACTAATGGGTTTTCTATGTATGGTTTATATTGTGTTTCAGCATTTGTTCTTTTTGTTGTTTTGTTTCTAAATGTTTGAATGAACAAAATGTAATATTGAATAAAATTGATCAGAACAAAATCGACATCAGCTAATTTTCTTTAATATAGATTTTAGATTTAAGAGTCAGTGCTACCAGAAAACGGCGTAGAACTTTATTTGGAACTGAAGTGTGTATGAATGTCAAGTACAGTAATCTCAAAATGCTTAATTTCTTGCATAAACAATCAATCTACCTGTTATATAATTTTCTCCTGTCTGGCGACAGATGGTGAAATAATTTTGCATTTAGTCTAAACAACAAAATTATGAAGGAATACTGTGTACGCGTAAACTGTCGCCCATATCACACCTTCTCAATAGGCAAAAATACGACGACGCCCAAAGTTATGATTTAATTCTGAAATGTGTTATCACGCCTTTGAGAACAAAAATAACCCTAGATGAATGGTTCCATGAATGCAGAAGCTAGAACGGAATCTTACAATGTGTTGCTTAGGTTATACTACTCCATTTGATTGGTGTTGCTTGGTATCAATGAAATAGATAAGTATAGAACACATGTTTGTAAAAGAGTAGACCATCATATTCATAAAGTCTATTTCAAGCCACAGCAAATGCTGCACCGTACGATCTTCGATAGAGTACGTAATCAGCAAATCTACACAATGAACAGATCCTAATATCACCGGAAGTGACGACATTATTTGACCATTGGTTCTCGCCGTTTCTGTTGTTCTAAGTTTTCTGGAAATTTCAAGATTATATCATATGCATATATTAAATGATTAATTGAAAATATCTATAAAATAAAACTCATTTTCAACAGATTTAACTCTATATCAAATCGCTTTTAGATATGAGTCATCATCTATCATTCTATATGTAATTCACTATGACCACAATTACTGGTACAAAGCTATGTTGCTCAAAGCTGTTCAACTTTAGCAAGAAGGAAGTAAAATTATCTGTCAGTAAAAGACAGCAGCTTTCTCTGCAAAGTACCTACATTATTCTGATCTCTCTCGAAAATACCTTAAACTGGAATAACTAAAATATTTTGTTCTGTTCTCTCATTGATTAGCAAATTGCAACATTAAACAATATCTTGATGGAGTAAATCGGTACAGAAAAATAATAATAATATGATGAGATCTCGTATTAAAGATAGAAGGCATCACACAAGACTATAAACATAAAACACTGACAGTAGATAACTATAAGGACGAGTGACATTACATACAAGACAGTAAACATTACCACACTGACAGTTGATAACTGTAAGGACGTGTGACATTACATACAAGACAGTAAACATTACCACACAGACAGTAGATAACTGTAAGGACGAGTGACATTACATACAAGACAGTAAACATTACCACACAGACAGTAGATAACTGTAAGGACGAGTGACATTACATACATGACAGTAAACATTACCACACTGACAGTAGATAACTGTAAGGACGAGTGACATTACATACCAGACAGTAAACATTACCACACTGACAGTAGATAACTGTAAGGAAGTGTGACATTACATACAAGACAGTAAACATTACCACACTGACAGTAGATAACTGTAAGGACGAGTGACATTACATACAAGACAGTAACCATTATAACACTGACAGTAGATAACTGTACCGACGAGTGACATTACATACAAGACAGTAAACATGAACACACTGACAACTGACAGTAGATAACTTTAAGGACGAGTGACATTGCATACAGGACAGTAAACATTACCACACTGACAGTAGATAACTGTAAGGACGTGTGACATTACATACAAGACAGTAAACATGAACACACAGACAACTGACAGTAGATAACTTTAAGGACGAGTGACATTGCATACAGGACAGTAAACATTACCACACTGACAGTAGATAACTGTAAGGACGAGTGACATTACATACAGGACAGTAAACATTACCACACTGACAGTAGATAACTGTAAGGACGAGTGACATTGCATACAAGACAGTAAACATTACCAAACACACAGTAGATAACTGTAAGGACGAGTGACATTACATACCAGACAGTAAACATTACCACACTGACAATAGATAACTGTAAGGACAAGTGACATTACATACAAGACAGTAAACATTACCACACAGACAGTAGATACCTGTACTAACGAGTGACATTACATACAAGACAGTAAACATTACCACACTGACAGTAGATAACTGTACCGACGAGTGACATTACATACAAGACAGTAAACATTACCACACTGACAGTAGATAACTGTAAGGACGAGTGATGTTACATACAAGACAGTAAACATTACCACACAGACAGTAGATAACAGTAAGGACGAGTGACATTACATACAAGACAGTAAACATTACCACACTGACAGTAGATAACTGTAAGGATGTGAGACATTACATACAAGACAGTAAACATTACCACACTGACAGTAGATAACTATAAGGACGTGTGACATTACATACAAGACAGTAAACATTACCACACTGACAGTAGATAACTGTACCGACGAGTGACATTACATACAAGACAGTAAACATTACCACACTGACAGTAGATAACTGTAAGGACGTGTGACATTACATACAAGACAGTAAACATTACCACACTGACAGTAGATAACTGTAAGGACGAGTGACATTACATACAAGACAGTAAACATTACCACACAGACAGTAGATACATGTAAGGACGTGTGACATTACATACAAGACAGTAAACATTACCACACTGACAGTAGATAACTGTAAGGACGAGTGACATTACATACAAGACAGTAAACATTACCACACAGACAGTAGATACATGTAAGGACGTGTGACATTACATACAGGACAGTAAACATTACCACACTGACAGTAGATAACTGTAAGGACGAGTGACATTACATACAAGACAGTAAACATTACCACACTGACAGTAGATAACTGTGCGGACGAGTGACATTACATACAAGACAGTAAACATTACCACACAGACAGTAGATACATGTAAGGACGTGTGACATTACATACAAGACAGTAAACATTACCACACTGACAGTAGATAACTGTAAGGACGTGTGACATTACATACAAGACAGTAAACATTACCACACTGACAGTAGATAACTGTAAGGACGTGTGACATTACATACAAGACAGTAAACATTACCACACTGACAGTAGATAACTGTAAGGACGAGTGATGTTACATACAAGACAGTAAACATTACCACACTGACAGTAGATAACTCTAAGGACGAGTGACATTACATACCAGACAGCAAACATTACCACACTGACAGTAGATAACAGTAAGGACGAGTGACATTACATACAAGACAGGAAACATTACCACACTGACAGTAGATAACTGTAAGGACGAGTGACATTACATACCAGACAGTAAACATTACCACACAGACAGTAGATAACTGTAAGGACGTGTGACATTACATACAAGACAGTAAACATTACCACACTGACAGTAGATAACTGTGCGGACGAGTGACATTACATACAAGACAATAAACATTACCACACTGACAGTAGATACATGTAAGGACGAGTGACATTACATACCAGACAGTAAACATTACCACACTGACAGTAGATAACTGTAAGGACGAGTGACATTACATAGAAGACAGATAACATCAATGCCATAGATCGCTTAGACTTACAGCAATTCTACTGACCTCATATTCTGGACATAAACCTAGCTAGGTATACACTTCCATCTACAAATTGTGATTGAAGACATATCTCTGATTGTTACTACGCTACATAAGGTATATACTCTGTCAGTAGTTGATAAGTCCTTTATGACACTATAGCTTGTTCTTTATCATCTCCACTGTCTAGGCAAATTTCCCTTTCTTGATAGTAACTAGTTTCTCTCCTTGACCTTCGTTGTTCATATTACTCTGCTTATTAAATGTGCACGACTTGTCTGAAAGATATATTCCGGAGGTCAGTTATTCTCCAAGCCTGAAAGGTAATCTGTGAACGACCTTTCGTGATATTCAGTAATTGTTTATCTCGATGTTACCATACAAAAAATCATGAAACTACCAAAGAGTATTATCTCTCCTTGTATAGTTCTTGAGGTCGTTAGTCTCTCACCATCTGAGAATTATTCTAATTATTTTCCACGCATATTAATGCAAGACTTTAGTTAGTCACATGGTATAATTTACTTGCTGACATCCTCAAAAACTAACTTGAAGAGCATTACAAACATTCTTGCCACTTCTTTTTAAACTTTGTTAATCCATATGAGTAATTTCATTCTTCCCAAGATGGACGTGTTACCTATCACACAATCAAACAAAATCTTTCTCAATGAGGTCATATAACGATCGTAATACGTTCCCATAACCTTCATCAATCTGCATCACTAGAAACCCTGTGTAGTGTGTTTGTCCGTCAGGTACTGACATCTTACACGTAAATGACTTAGGGGACGACTGAGAGATATCCAAAATGTTGGAAATAAACATTAAAAAAAACTAAAAGGTGCACTAGCCTCATATTCAATAAATTGAATCATTTGTGAAATAATGAATAATTTCAAAAGAACAGTGCATGTGTATATTCTGAACCGTTCCAAAACAGGTCACAAAGTCGTTAACTTTCATGCTATGTACCTTGTTCCCTTTTGAGAACGATATATCACTCACTTAGATTACTTTTCCGGAACACCTGGTCCTATTCACCTTGTACTTTCTCAAGATCTCAGTTTCTCTCTTTTGTTCGTATTTTGCCCTAGTTTAATTGAATTTGAGTTTGGATTTTGATTTTGTTGACATTTATTTTCTCCTTGTATTTGAATAAAATAAAACATTGTATGTCAGTTAGGGCAAACCTCAGCCACGCCTTCCATGCATCTCCAAGAGTGTAATAGCATATATCGAAGCAATTTATAATTAGCAGCTGTAGAACTAGTTTCTTAATGAAACTGCATCACATATTGGTTTCGCTCTGGTGAGACAAGTCAGTGATATTAAAAGTAAAGTATATTATTAACCGTGTCAATGAATTAAAATATGGCATGCAAAATACTGCAGGAAGTTAACCTTTGTAATTCGCCATGTTAAGTTTTTCAAGCAGACGACGAACGCCATGCCGTGGCGTATTCTCGCCGATACTTCGGACCAGGTGAGCTTAAACCCGATCTGCATAATGCACCAAGAATTACCAAATAATAGCAAACAGCAGCGCTGCTCTAAGGTGACCTGGTGACCTGGTAACCTGATACAAATTAATTGCCGGAAAACGCCGTCAACACAATGCCTAACAATTGTTAAATCTTTTGAAATACTGACGATAATCTAGTTTGATTTTTAACAAAATTTACAATTGACACTAGCGACCTGTCAGATGTGTGTGCTTTTGCATGCCCTGAAATGAAGTTCACTTCAAAAGGATTCAAGGAAATCACGTTTCTATCTTTAATTCTAATTTCTTATTACTATTATTTTTTACCTAAGGGAATGCCTTATAGAACAACGCGTTGTCAGATATGTGTGCATCTGAAAATTCATTGAAAGATAATCGGTTTGAAAATTCCATTGCTTTAACGGATATAAGACTGACTTTACTTCCTTGTTTTAAGAAATCATATATTGCATTGGAATAACATATGTACATGAATTTTTATTGCTACTGAAAAAACTAAATCAACATAAATGATGAAGATAACTCAAATATGTTTTAAATGACAATTTTGGATATACAGACTGTTTCGTCTGTGTAACTGTAGCGGTATGAGCTGACGGGACATTTCTACGTGTCAGATTCAATTTCCTGAAGCAGATGCTAAGTCGGTGTGGTAATGTGTGACTTCCTGGACGTAATTTGGCCGCTAAGACCTCTGAGAATTCTGGGAGATTCTAAGGGGCCACACCTCCTGACACGCCTGTGCTGTGGATTGAATTAGAGGGCAGATAAAAGTGTCACCTCGCCACGTTAAAACAAATTGGAGACTAGTGAGGTGAGCACCGCGTTACTGAAATTCACAACATTCAATCTGTCCATCGGAAGATATCGACTGGCTTACTCTGACCTACAGGTTAACTTACAAGTGTATAGAGGTATTACGTTCAGGTCATCTACAGTAATTCTGGGTTTATTTAAATAATCATGTTTCTATTTACATGTTTTACATGTCAAACGCCGTTGAGGGTACAGTGTACAAACAAATTAGTTGGAGAAAGGATCACGGCGAGAATACATATAAGAGCATTTCTATATAACCTTCATATAGAATGTTACATTATAAATTGAAAATGACCACTACAAGGTGACATGTTTATTTTATTAAGTATGAAACCGTCAACAATTCCTGTTAATACTTTAAAAATGAAGTTGTATTACAAAAATTGAAAGTATTGGTAAATACAGACGTTAGCTTTTAAAAATCAACTGTATATTGTATAAAAGACACACAAGTGAATAGCACCTTTTCAATCTAATTTAGTATTAGTCAAATAATGAATTGAACCCCATCATACAGTTGTTTCGTCCCTCTAAAACCCGTCAGTGAAACTAAGAGCTCAGATTGCCAAATCTCTGGAGATCTACATGCAGGTCGGAATAAATGTCAAAATATGTTAGGGAGGTAAAATTATTTTCTTTGTTGACAATATGGCGCGAATCAAAAACGTTCTCAAAGATTTTTTTTCCTCTATTAGCCAATTACTTTTTTACAGCCAAGCAATAAAAAGAAATAACAAAAAAAATTAATTTGAGTCTTTTAAGGGGTTAATATCAACTTAAAAGGTGTATCAGAGAAAACACAAACTTACAGACAGAATACTAATACATCCGATATCTGTCGTCACGTTAACAACAATATTGACATGAAAGCAGGGTCTAACTTCCAACACAAAATCGATTAAAGTTATGGAGAAATAACAACATATGAAAGATTCACACGGAGACTCGAAAACATGTACCAGGAGAACAAGACCAGGTGTTCCGAAAAAGTAAGCATCTTCTACTTGGTCAATCATGTCAGTCTTTGTCAGTTAAAGTGTGTCATATCATTTTCTCATTTGAAAACACGGTAAATAACAACGAAACCACTTGGCATACATACGATCATCAAATCCAATAATACACCGCTCAAAGAAATAGAATATGCATTAATGAGATCGTTATGACAACTAAAATTGATGTTTGCATAAGATTGAAATATCGAATCAACTGCGACATGTGAACACCGTAGGTTGAGAAAGCAGAACTGTTGCTATATTCACAACTGTCATGTCCTGGATTTCCCATTTTTTGGTGGATATATACAATAAACTTGTTCAAAACATTTCTTGTTCTTGTTAGCAAGTAGTCCTAGATATATCTGAAAACTGAAACTGAAGGACTAAGAAAGGTCTTTGTGATCTGTTTCGATAAGCTCTTCGATAAATTCAGCCTCGTATGAAAACAAGTTGTCGGCCTAGAGAAGGTCACAGTTATATTCTTCTCAATTTTTAACACGAATTGCGCTGCAGTGTAGTTCATAATTATATAAAATGCATTTGTACCGCTGTTAACCTTTCCTTGAAAAGAAAGCTCTCATAATATGAGAATTCGTTACTTCACTTAAGGGTATGGAAGTGTGCAGAATGACTTCCTTTCAAGGAGACTGTGTAGATTCGTGGTCAAAAAATCGAAAAAAGAAATTGGAATTCTTTAAAATCCACATACAATTACCTCCACTTCTTAAGTAAAACGTGTGACAGTAAGACTGTATCCCTGATTTCATATTACAAAGAATGATAGTAAGAAACTCTGATAAAGATTTGGTTGAGCAACCTGGCGAGCCAGCAATGAAACGCTCTTTGTGTTGATACTTAGGAATATATATCTCGTTTGTATTTGGTCTTACATGAAAAATCTAACAGCAGTCATCGTCACTCTGATTCTGATATCAAATGATTTGGACATCCATAGATAAATCAAAAGTCGGTGAATTGTTACGAAATTCGTGTAATCATAAGCTATTACTCTGAATTCTATGTACGTAGTGTTATACCATATCAGCGAAGTCAAGAAAAACTGTAAATAAAATTTTCAAAGCAGAAAATAAATCCCCCGTTACCGCTTACAGACGTATTAAGAGAGATTTCTGTTCGTTAAACCTGTGATATTTGCCAGCAATCTATGCCGTTTATAACGATAAGAAATACACATTAAGACATTTCAATGCTTGAACATACGGTGCGATTACATGTACATACATATATATAAAGGTTCTGTGTATAGAAATAAATATATAAATGTGTCCATGTGTACGCGGATGGTTCGTAGTTTCTACAAATATTCAATATTTCAAGAGTATTTAAGTGGTTTTTGTGTGGTGTATATGCTGATCAATAGCTTGTGACTGATAGAAGATGATACAGACTAATGAATATTCTTTGTCAATGAGTAACGATAAATCAGGACAGGTTTAGGTTATATGTGAGATCACGAATTCTGTTTAGTAAAATATTGATACTCATGAGTGTTGTTCTGATCCAGAAACAGATATATGTCAGATCATGATGATAGGTAGTGTTCAGTCACCATATTTATAGTACATTCACATACAGACCATGCCGTAAGTGACGGCTGTGTTGGCTGATATGGGAGATCTTTGCTGCCCGCTATAAGACGACAAGAGACATGGCTTTGTAAATACTGAAAAGAGGAAAGTCCACCAAAGGCATGTACCGGAAAGAAGAAAGCCCACCAAGGCATTTTTTTAAATCTCATACATATGAATTCGTTGATTATAAGTACCCACGAATTAGCGAAATTAACATCCCCTATACACCTATTGACCCATCCGAAAATGAATGATTCGACACTATGTTTCATTCATATTTGGCTGTACTGTGTCTAATAATAAATTACAGATATAGTTTTTAAAGATGCTAATCGGTTGTGTGTCCTTTGTACAATCTCGCAAATAAAAACTATTTAAAATGGGCAAATTTAACTGAATATAGGAACTAGGTTAATGACAACGAAACATTAGATATAGTAAGAAGATTCATTTCCTACCAGAAAACAGAATATTTCTTTTGACATCAGACTTTCAAACTTTTACACCTGAACTGACATACTCTCAGCTACTTTGGGCACGTGATAGTGCTTTAAATTCGGCCAATCAATATCGCTATAGAAAAACATGAAGAATTTCACAATCAACACATGTGAATAGCAAATTTAAAAAAAAGGAATTAGATTCAACATCGGCAAATAATGAATAGAACCTTATCGTACAGTAGTTCCATCCTTCTAGGCTATGCTTGAGACCATGTCTTTTAACAATAGGACAATGTAATGATCTTATCAACCCAACGAAAAATATCCAATGTCAAACACAAGAAACATCCATTCACATTTTCACAATAGTCCCATAAAACTTTAAGTTTTTTGGTTGAAAGAATGAAATCGATATATATTTGTTCCGAGTTCAATCGAAACATATATCTCATAATACATAGGCTTATTTTATATCCAAGTTATTTGCTATGTGCACCATGTTATACATGTATATGAATTCCAAGACGAGGGGAAGCAACTCTTCCACCATAGCAACCATGCATGAACCAAAAGTATTACTATCACAGTTCATATGTAAATTTGAGATTCGATCCCTTTAGTTCTCTGTTAAGTAGCTCGTTGAACTGCTCATTTTGTGATACTGTGAACCAGTTCTTCCAATCCCCGACCATTCCTGTAGATAAAAACATTAGTTGCTAATCATAATGGTTCTACTTTCGGTTCTATTATATGTACTAAATATTAAGTACAAAATGGGATATAAGACAAATAGGTAACTAAATAGCATCAGAAAGAACACGTGGAGTTGAAAATAAAATGGCACGAATCGGCGTCAATGTGATTTCTACGAAAGTTAACAAAAAGTGATGCATCAGGAAAAAGCAAGAGATGATAGTAAGTGTGGAATATTAGCAGTGTTTCCAGCCGGTTTGGAATACATAGAATGATTCAATAGTGCGACCCTAATTTAGCTCTAGAGTGTAGTACTGGAGAGATTAAAATAGAGGATATAAACTTTACCCTTCCTAAATAAAAACTTGATTCCTCCTTCCGTAACTGGCACGTTGCCCGTTTTGATCGATACTGCTGCTTCTCGTAATTTTTTGAAAGAACACTTATCTGCGACATCCTTCAATAATTCCTCGTCAGCAGGTACTTCTAAATATTCAGCGAGCCGTTTTATCTCTGTTACTGGAGCCTGGAAAGTATACATAATGTACTCGGCATTCAGTTTAATTCATCTTTATCAAGGAAGCAAAGAAATACTTAACGTGTCAACAGAATCTTAAATGAAACTAAACCAAAATGAAACTGGGGTAAATATGAACCAAAAACAGAATTGACAAGGAAATTCCTGTAAAGGTATAAGAAGGATAAGAGCAGGTGTGCTGGAGATGGCAGTGTATTCGGATTCATCGACGACATAAATTATACTTATTTCAAAATCAAGTACATATTGTTTCATACCAAGTTGTCATTATCTCTCTAAATTTGGAACAAGACATAACGTCGATAATACCTAAATACCATATACCTAGTGTCGTCGATGAGGCAGTAGACACTTACACCTTTCAAGATTTTGTTTTTCATATTCTACGTTAATTTTGAGAATCCTTTGAAAATTATTCTTTCATCCATAATTTTCCATGTTTATCGAGATTGAGTCAAAGTTTCACAACTCGGTATTCTATATTTTGGTTCAGAAGTCCAATTGATGTCACGTCTTCAATTGTTGTTTTTGTATGAAGGTGTAATTGACATCACGTCATCAATCGTTGTTTCGGTTCAGAAATGCAATTGGTATCACGGCATCAATCGTTATTTTGGGTTAGAAGTGAAATTGATACCACGTAATCAATCGTTGTCTTGGTTCAGAAGTGCAATTGGTATCATGGCATCAATCGTTGTCCATACGGAGACATTGTACGAGGTTTACTGATTTCAATCCAAGTTGTCTGGAGCTTTTAACAAACGTTAGTTAAATGTTTCATTTATATTTGTAAATTTTCAATTACTGATGATGAGATGCGTTTGATCAAAATCAAAATCAGTATTACCACAATTCACATTTGATTAATTAAAATTGATATTAATATCATTTATTTCGTGTATGTTACAAGATACGCCTTAATCTTTGAATAATTGTTGAATGAATGCTAATATATTGGAACTCTAAGTTCTGGAAAAAATAGTCTTTCGGAATGATTTACACGCACCTTGCAATCGTCGTTGTAGCAGTATCATTTTGAATATGATTCCACGTGATTATTACAACCAATTAGCTTGTATTTTTATAAGTATAAATTAAGGGATAAATCAACTATATATATAAATACCTTGTGAAGATCTTCATAGAACAATGTATGTACACTGGTTACCGCTTTGGTACGTTTGGCTGTCTCCCAGTCCTTCTCATACTTGAAGAAGCCATCATAGATATCTACATTGTAAAACCGTTCGTACATTTTACCCAAGTTAATCATGTGAATCACCTTGTCAATTATTGCAGAGATTATCTATTGCATATGCTTTAGAGGATTATTTTGTAATCTGGAGCTAGAACAGACGGTAAGCATAGATATTTTAAGACTTCACTGAATAATGGTCAGATGTAAGGTAGTATATATATTTTTTCTAACTTGCTGATGAATGTTATATAGGTATTAAAGAATGATAATTCACAAAACTTATTATAAACTGTAACATGCAAGGTTGGTGCTCGGTTTAACTGAAGTAATTGATACTTTCTACTCTTACATGTTTTAATATTTCAAAGTACAAAAAAGCACACTAGCAAAGTAAAAACAAAACAGACAAAAACAAACAAACAAACAAACGATGTCAGTTAATAACATGAAATATCTATTTATCTCTCACATACTATGTTTGTTTTCCATTTGATCCTTCAGGAAATTTTCCCAGGTTCCCGGAAACTCCACTTCTTCAGACGTACTGGGATGACGAAGGCGAGAGTCGATTTTATAATGGTTATAAACAGACACCATGGTGTCTTTCGGGTTCCGGGTGACGTGGATTATCTTGCATCCTTTGGCCAGGTGCTGTGTTGGTAGAAGCCGGAATGGCACGTGAGTGCTAAGTACACGTGGTGAAGCCATATCGGTCAAGGTACTTAAGTCTATGATTTCCAGCATGCCGATAGTTTTAAGGTCTTTCAGGTAGGATGAGTGGCCTTGTAGCAACATACACACGATTTCATAGACCCAGTTAGTCCCTAGTAATACAGATGATCGTCAATTTTGAATTAAAAAATCCATTAGAAAACGAAAAGTCAGTTTCACAGACCATAAAGTTAGTGAAGCTGAATTGTATTAGCATTGTCCTATCGACATCTAGAAATTAAATTACTAACTCTGGTGTTTGTCTTATTAATACGCATAGCTTTATTTCTTATTGATAGAACAATAAAATTCTGATATACGTACATAACAGAACAATATAATTCTGATATACGTACATAACAGAACAATATAATTCTGATATACTTACATTAGTATATATTATATCTCACTAGAACAATATGATTCTGATATACTTACATTAGTATATATTATATCTCACTAGAACAATATGATTCTGATATACTTACATTAGTATATATTATATCTCACTAGAACAATATGATTCTGATATACTTACATTAGTATATATTATATCTCACTAGAACAATATAATTCTGATATACTTACATTAATATATATTATATCTCACTAGAACAATATGATTCTGATATACTTACATTAGTATATATTATATCTCACTAGAACAATATAATTCTGATATACTTACATTAGTATATATTATATCTCACTAGAACAATATGATTCTGATATACTTACATTAGTATATATTATATCTCACTAGAACAATATGATTCTGATATACTTACATTAGTATATATTATATCTCACTAGAACAATATGATTCTGATATACTTACATTAGTATATATTATATCTCACTAGAACAATATGATTCTGATATACTTACATTAGTATATATTATATCTCACTAGAACAATATAATTCTGATATACTTACATTAGTATATATTATATCTCACTAGAACAATATAATTCTGATATACTTACATTAGTATATATTATATCTCACTAGAACAATATAATTCTGATATACTTACATTAGTATATATTATATCTCACTAGAACAATATGATTCTGATATACTTACATTAGTATATATTATATCTCACTAGAACAATATGATTCTGATATACTTACATTAGTATATATTATATCTCACTAGAACAATATGATTCTGATATACGTACATAACAGAACAATATGATTCTGATATACTTACATTAGTATATATTATATCTCACTAGAACAATATGATTCTGATATACTTACATTAGTATATATTATATCTCACTAGAACAATATGATTCTGATATACTTACATTAGTATATATTATATCTCACTAGAACAATATAATTCTGATATACTTACATTAGTATATATTATATCTCACTAGAACAATATGATTCTGATATACTTACATTAGTATATATTATATCTCACTAGAACAATATGATTATGATATACTTACATTAGTATATATTATATCTCACTAGAACAATATAATTCTGATTGCATTACTTTATATATTATCTACCACTGATACTGGCTGTTCACAGGAGATAGGATTCATATTTACATGATGACACCTGATGACATTATTATGACTGACAAAACTTTAATTCCAGATTGTACCAAACCTCATTCCTTCTTAATATACTGATGTAACAAGGAGACGTCAAAACACTATCAAGACACGATCAGTGTCTGAAAACAATCAATTAATGAAGGTCATCGTTGTGTCTCGATGGCCACCACAGACTCCTTTTGGTGAAAAATAAACCAAAGCGTCCTGAGACGGTTCGAACCATGAACTTGTTTTCTGACATTTTATCAATCTACGTGTGAAAGAGAGATCAGAGCCGCAGGTCAAAAGAAAATGAATACGTCATTTTGTTGGATTGTTTCCATTTTGGTATCAATGCCAAAAAACACAAAACGATAGAATACATTAATTCGATTGATGTGACTTATCATTAGGTGTTGTTCCTACAAGAAATAAAAAGTGTTTTACGTGTTGAAATGATGAGTGTCACCAACTACAACTAGGCAATGTCACCGATCGTCATTTTAAAGATAAGCATATGACAACCATTTCACCATCACAAAATGAGCTAACTCTAATGTGTCTAGAGGATTACACCACAACTAGTCACAGTTATATTCTTCGTGGTCAAAATGGGTTGACCCTTTGTACCACTTTTCTCAGTGTATTACGTAAGCGTGATCTTGTTTTGCTCTCTGACAGGTTTGACATTTGAGGTTTATAACAACATCTGAGACATGTGATAGATTACGTCAGACATGATATCTTTTAAAAGTAGATCAAACTTTATCAATCCTACCTGTTTTGGGAAAATTACAAATCAAGATGTCGCTCTCTTTCGACTTGAAATCCCGGATAGCAGTCATTTGCTTGTCAGCACGTGGTAGGAGTGTTGGAAACAATGGTAGCATACACCCGTCGTATAGTGGCATCGGAAACTTCCGGGGTGTATCCGACATGGTGTTGTCTTTATGGTGGACAGTGTATTGCGGTATTAACGGTGATAATACGTCTGAGAAATGTGTAGGAAGAGGATGTCCTTTTTGTACCTACATACTTGTTGCCATTCCGAATGGTCATAGCAATGTGTATGCACGCCCGAATAAACTATTGAATATATTAATAAATAAGTATATAGCAAAAGGCTTTTATAAGGAAGCGTATTCCGGCCACGTTGTGTTTTATTTTATCTCGAAATTTCTAGATAGCAACTCGAAATTTCGAGTAAGTAATCCGAAATTTTGAGATATTAACCCGAAATTTTGAAATTGCAACGCAATTTCGGATTACTAATTCAGATTTTCAGATTATTAACTAAAATAAAACACAACGTGGCCGGAATACGCTTCCGTACTTTTAGGCCTAAATACTCACCTAACCGATATATTGAGTACATTTGTTTACATCTAAAGTGATACCCATTGAATATGTTAAAGAAATTTTCTTTAATCAACTGAATGAATTACTGCAATATGTTCCAAGATAAAGTAATACAGAAACCTTAGGTCAGTTAATCGTCTCTTGATAAAGTAATACAGAAAACTGAGGTCAGTTAATCGTCTCTTGATAAAGTAATACAGAAAACTGAGGTCAGTTAATCGTCCCTTGATAAAGTAATACAGAAACCTGAGGTCAGTTAATCGTCTCTTGATAAAGTAATACAGAGACCTGAGGTCAGTTAATCGTCTCTTGCTTGTCAACTCTTAGTATATCAATATTAATACATGCATATAGGTCACCAAAGTCATAAATAAGTCATAAGTCAGCAATATAAATAAATAGTGTATAGTTTTCAATTGCACATCTTATTACAATGTTAAGAAACGTTAAAGCTCATCGAAGTACATGTGCCAAATAAGTCATCAGTCGTAATCAATAATTCCATCAATTATCTACTGATAACTATTAACTGCTAATTGTTTTAATGTCAATATATAACATTAACGGTCGAGTTATCGTACTTCCAGTTAAGCTGTCAGTACACAGCTCTGATTGGTTAGATTTTGGTGTAAAAGTTATTTACCAGGTATACTCAGTATATAGGAAAGCTATAAATAGAGGTTTTCTCTTGTTAGGAGCCTCGTTACAAATTAACAGATAAAATCACAAAATATGTCAAATTCCACCTCTCATTAAAATTATACAAAACTGTATACACCTCTTTGTCTTCATGAAGTGCACACACTGTCAAAAATTAATTCCCCTTTTTTCCGCTCAATTTTTCTTACCCACAAACAGAAATTGTGTCATTCTTGTCAATTGCTCTCAGGGCCATATTTTTACGTTTGATGACATGAATTTAACACTATTGGTGTAAAATCATCTACTGGTCATTCCTAAAACGTGTCATCAATATCATTCAATACGTTCAACTAAAACCATGGTGATGGCATCATCTTTTTAATTTCATTGTCACATAATAATGAAAAAAAATGACAAGCACTCGCATGAATAATTCAGTATTGCAAATTATGCGTCATCATTCACTCTTCCCAAACTTTAATCTATTATACACATAAACATATCGTATATCTATATACAAATTTAGTTACTGAAAAGCAAACTCACGAAATGAACTGCATGCCTATAAACATATTTACCTATACCTATATACATTACCTTTCATCGTCGGGTTAATCTATTGTGTAATACAGCATTTAGTATCCGCTTTGTTTCCAAAATATTATAGCTTATATATAAAAAAAAGTGTTTAGTGTCTTAAAATACAAATGTGGAGTTAGATACAGAAACGCAAAATCATGAATTAAAATGCATTATACACTTTCATCAAAAGTATCTCAAGAAATGTCAAAATCTGAATTGGGCGGTGCACTACCCCCATACTGAAACACCAGGTTTCCAGAGATATAGGTTGAGTGAAATGATGGGGAAGATTTACCGTCGTCAAAATGATTTAATTGGGAAATATTCTATTTCCTTAAGCGATATGAAGTTGGATGTGATTGATGCTTGTTATGATATCTGTTGGCTGTGTTGTTGTTGATCGCAGTCTCATTTGAGAACGTGACATTGCTTTGAATGACCACAATTTACATGGCGGGTGACGTCGATAAAGCAGAACACGCAAAATCTCCCAAAACACCTTATCTATGTCCTTTTTAGGAGTCTTCGTGTAGATTTTTTCTTTCGTTCATATTTTCCTGTAGATGAAATGAATTTGAGCTTTGATCACGATTCTGTTTAGACATTGATATTTATTTTTTGTTTCTGAAAAAGTCAAACACAAGTGTCTACCACCTACAAAGGAACATGTAACTAAACGGCACATTTAAATACATTATTATCAAATACACGGTATAGTACACGTATTTATACCTAACATCAGATATCAACACACATAGTCAGTCTATACAACTGTAGCAGTTACATTAGGAATGATATTTTATCGTTCATAGATATATTCATATTCATCCTGAAATCATCATTGAACAGATGAAAATCTTTGATAGCAATTCCTTGCCTACGTGAATTTGTTAACGAGTTGATCACGGAAGCATGATTTGGTTAGTTCGCTTTCTCACTTATAAAGTTGGTGAATTTCCTATTAAGTACCGCCAACCGCTTTCTCATAAGTACCAGGAACATGATTTGAAGATAATGTTACAATATTCAGATGTTTATAAGGTTTGGAAAAGATTATTGTTTCACGTTTTACTGTGTAGCAACAGAATGTGTTTAACAAAAACATTACAGTATCTTACTTAACACTCATCATTGACATTCAGAAAAATAATATGAGAAATATATCCGTTTATGTCATAATGTAATACAGACAATCCTCATCACAATACCAATGCCTGTCACTGTTCCTGTCACTGTTCCTGTCACTGTTCGTAGGTAAAATTGAGAGTTGATCCCTTCAGCTCTCTATCCACAAGTTCGTTGAATTGTTCATTCTGTTTAACCGTAAACCAATGTTTCCAGTCTCCGACCATTCCTGTTAGAAAATAGAAAACCTGTTAACAACTGCTGTGAGCCAATAAATTGATACACACGGTACTACAAAGTATACCTCATTCGTACAAAGACCATGAACATACGCAATGACACATTACAAATGAGTTACCAAAGTTAAAACAAAAGAGTCAAATTCATTAAATTTTCAATTCTCTTTTTCTATACATACTTCCTGGTGAAAATTACTTTTCAAAAATCAATTAACTCTCTCTCTCTCTCGATCTCTGTCGATCTATCGAGCGATCGATATAAGCTATAACTAATGCGTCCTAAAAGATCGAGTAGCAGTCAAAAGAACAAAGAAAAGGTAAAGGTGAATTAATAATTATATTAAGCGAGGTATTCTGAAACAGGTATTATCAATGCATTTCCCCACGTGGAACCAGATGAGTGGTAGTCAAACCACTGACTGTTGATTATAAAAGGATTTAATACTGATCGAAAATAAGCAATTGATAACCTTCACTGCATTACCAGCTCTACTGGTTATCCATGTACCTAACATATAGTATATACGCTTATTGTTCATTTCTGCTTGAAGTCGAATATTTTCTGTATATACAGTCCTCCGACAGCTAAAACTTCGGGAATATTTTTTTTCGGTTTGCTTTAGCATCTCGTCAATGTTTAATGCAGTCTTTGGTATTTACCTTGTGTTGGGTTTCTATCTTTGTTTTCTTGTCAGAAGTCTCTGTTAATAGGTGCCATAAGGGACTCATTCTTTAGAAACAAGTGTATACCTTTTCTAAACAGTAAATTGTTTCCATTCACGACAATCTTAGCTCCGCCGGTTTTTATAGTAACTGCCGCGTTTTGAAGCTTTTGAAAGGAGCATTTATCGGCTACATCTTGAACAAGTCCCTTGTCTGCAGCTACCTCTAGGTACCTCGCCAATCGTGTTATTTCTCTCACTGGATCCTAAAAAGTATTCTTAAAAATGAATACGAAATTAGGTGAATTACCAGTACTATGACATAAAATAAATAAGCAAATAAAATCCAAAAATCTTCGAAATGTGAAACAAAACGATTTAAAATCCAAAAACGCGCCACGATTGATATAAAATCTTTTTAAAGATCGATAATTCTGATATAACAACCTTAACGTAATCTAGATAAATGCCATGAAGTGACATTTAGGAAAGTAATGGAAAATATTTTTTTAAACATAGATATAATATGGATATCTACCAGTAAAACTTTAATCAGACATTATTATCATACGTGACAAATAAGTATGTTATGATAATTAATTTGTACATTACAATAGGCGGAATCAGCAAAAATTGGTATCGGAATGATATGAAAGATGGTTGAGGAAAAGTATGATCTGCCACAATCGAAGAGACTTGGATATCAAGCTCTACATGATTAAGGAAAAGTGAAATTGTTAATCACAAAGGCAGTAAGACTGTAGCTATAAATTCTAAGCTGGACATCGTCACAATTCTTATCAGGAAACCTGTCGTGTAGAGGAATACCAATACCAATTTTTTGCTATGGATTATTAACATGCGATTGACATTGAGATGGAATGTAACAAGTGTTACCTTTTTGTATGTTTCACTTTAAAGGGAGAATTTGAACTAATGGACCTTGGCTACAAAGGCAACATCCAATATTCTTTGGTAAGCTTTACTGGATAATAGAATGTAATGTCCCACGGTACAAAGACTAGAATATTCATATTCTGTGAGGATAGATATTCATCTTAACAAGGTAAAAACAGTAGTGATAAAATTGTTACAAATACCTTGTGAAGATCTTCATAGAACAGTGTATGTACACTGGTTACCGCTTTGGTACGTTTGGCTGTCTCCCACTCCTTCTCATACTTGAAGAAACCATCATAGATATCTACAGTGTAAAGCGTTCATTTACGGAAATTATTACATTCTTAAACCGAACCTTTTCAAAACCGATAACCTCTTGAAAACCGAACGAAATGGCGATGTACGGAATGGCGTCCTCTATATTATAGTAATAAAAACCTTCTTAATATCCATCCCTCTCAATTCCGACAAGTCGACCATCCACCCGGGGCTACATTGGGCCGTATGTAATGTAACGAAAGTTTCGAGATCGCCGGATTTCTTTTTAGACTAAAGTTAATATAGAATACAAGTATCACGGTGTTCTTCTTTTTTAAACTTTACCGATATATCCGAGCTCTGACCAGTCAACTTACTTCACTTCTACAAACCGAACCCTCCCAAAAACCTTATTAGGGTATGTACAAGCAGTATCTTGTTTTCTGTATGTCAGAGAGAGAGGGGGGATGTGAGAGAGAGAGAGGGGGGGAGAGGGGGGGGTGAGAGAGAGAGAAACAGACAGACAGACAGACAATTATAGAAAGAATCATAGATAAAAAGGGAGACATAGAGGGAGAACATCATACAATTTCTTTCATGTTTGAGGACCTTTCTTGAATGCTAAATCTGGCACAATCTTTGTCTACTAATCCTACATTCAAATCTACTGTCTGCAGTCATTAAAGACTTGGTGTCATCTCGTCGGAGTGGCACAATTGCTATCTAACAATGTAATGCATTGTATGTTTCTGATGCAGTTTTTGCTGTGCGTGTCTGAATGTGTGAACCATGTTCGTATTTGAATAAAAAGTTGGACAAGCTAATTGAGAGTATTGGTATTAAATAGAATTAACATGAATTATATAATTATAAACTTACTATGCTTGTTTTCCATCTGGTCCTTGAGGAAGTTGTCCCAGGTTCCCGGGAAGTCTTCCGAAGTGTGACTGGCACGTGGGTCGTTTTTACAATGGTTGTAGGATGAGACCATGGTGTCTTTAGGATTCCGGAGGACGTGAACTATCTTACATCCCTTGGTCAAGTGTTGTTCTGGTAGATGGCGGAACGGCACGTGAGAACTTAATACACGTGGTGACACACAGTCAGCCAAGGACCCTAGTTCTAAGCCTTCCAACATACCGACCGCTTTGAAATTCTTTATATACGCTGAGTGGCCTTGTAGCAGCATCGACACGATTTCATAGACCCAATTTGAACCTGGCAATTAAACCACATAAAACTTTGTGTGTAGTAAGATCTTACTGGAGAGGAATATAACGGTGTTTACCACACCACATCTATATTCTTTGTTAAGTTTCAGAAGTTGATTTAAAGTGATATATCTCTCTGTTATAATAGTTAAAATATACAACCTTTGTGAACTATTCTTTAGACAAGGAACAACTTTCTTTTTTATTGACAAGTTTCGTACCGTAGTTTGAAAATAAATGCAATGAAAATCAACAAGAAAAGGCAACAAACTCGACAGTGTGAAACTTGGATACAATAAGGTTAGGAGATTGTACAAAAGACAAAGAAGGAAACAGCACCTTTACAGATTTAGAATTAGATATATTGATGCCATATATTGAATTAAGCTGTTCCATCTTTAAAGGTCATATGCTGAAGGTCATAAGTGATTAAACCGACCACGTGACTGAGGATAATCTAAGGTGATCGAAATGAACGTCAGAAACGATATAAGGAAATGAACAATCCCAAATTCAATAGGAATTTCATAATTTTAGATAATAAATGATTTCATAATGATATCAAACACATGGAAATATTCGAATTAATTATAATGCGAACAAACTTGTATTATTACTAAAAAGTGAAACAGAACCAAACAGGGAGTAGATCAGAACCCAAGAACAGATAAGGGTGAAAACCGCTATTATCCTACACACTAATTCAGGTAAAGCATATAAACAAATGGTTCTTCAAGAAAGATACACGATCTCATTACCTGTCTTTGGATAACTGCAAATCAAAATATCATTATCTCTGGATTCGAACTCCCGAATAGATGTCATTTGTGTATCAGCACTTGGTAACAGTGGTGCAAACTTAGGCAACAGATATCCATCATATTCTGGCATAGGACAAGACGCATCAGTCATGTCTGTAAATAAGATATATATTATTGTAAAACATTGTATAACATATTCTGACATAGGACAAGACGTAGCAGACATGTCTGTAAATAAGATATATATTATTGTAAAACAGCGTAGAACATATTCTGGCATAGGGCAAGATCAGCCATGTCTGTAAATAAGATATATATTATTGTAAAACAGTGTAGAACATATTCTGGAATAGGGCAAGATCAGCCATGTCTGTAAATAAGATATATATTATTGTAAAACATTGTATAACATATTCTGGCATAGGACAAGACGTATCAGACATGTCTGTAAATAAGATACCTTTTATTGTAAAACAATTTACATATTCTTACATAGGGCAATATCAGCCATGTCTGTAAATAAGATATATATTATTGTAAAACAGTGTATAGCATATTGTGGCATACGACAAGACGTATCAGACATGTCTGTAAATAAGATATATATTATTGTAAAACAGTGTATAACATATTCTGGCATAGGGCAATTGAATTGACTGTAAAAAGGACTTGCATTACTATCTAGGAGTGTATAGCATAATATGCCGTGGGACCCAGGGGAGTTCCTTAACATATGTCCCTGAAATGTATCTACTCTGAAAATATGGCAGGATCCATCTAATCTATTTATCAATTAAATAAAAAAAGATATTTCAATTAAATATCAAGAAAATATATAAAATATCGATTGCAGACAAATACGTACAAATACATGCTTATATATATATTGACAAATAAGAAGTGCAATTGATCTCGTCAAAATATGTTACATATTTTAGAGAAACATTGTGTTCATATAACAATACGTAAACACCATGTAATATTATTTGATCAAGAAGGATGACTGACGATAAAGTCACGAGGTTATATGGACTTTCTAAATAGACACCTGCTGTTGTAGATGCATGTGTCATTTGTAACCTTCGTACGATAGAAATTGAACTAAAACAATTAGAGACATTGCACGGTTATTCAACATTGTAAAAAGCAACTAACATCAGGAATAGAGAAAAGTGTACTTGTAAGCGTGTTTTAAGGTCATTTTAAGAATGGATTGACCGTCCACTCTAACCATCCAGTGTATGTCTGCTAGTCAGATATATTTTACAAAGTGTAATTGATTGTCTATTGGCCTTGTGACAGCTATTATAGCCTAGAAGATGAATAATCATTTGGTCCGTGTTGAGCAGGACCGTTGATATATACTCATATAATTAAATAAATGATCAGAAGCAATATGTAGATTGCATCATATTTCAATTTTAATATAGATAAAGATCATACTGTATAGTCTCCTGACTGATGAGATCGATGGAAACAAGAATGCTCGTTATCTCCAATACAAGAGAGATAACTCCTGATATCAAACTTTACCGTAACCCTACAGTCGATATGTTATAACTGCAGTTTAATTGTCCATCTTTAGTATTGTGTAGTTGTTTTGGAAACATCAAACTCCCTTGCATTAATCATGGTGGAATTACACATTTTAGAGTGTGATCCAGCTAGCACTTTTATAGTGTGATCACTAAACCGCTAAACTTACCTCCTTTTGCTGTGAACTGTCGTGGAAGCGGCGTTAAAGTTTGCCCTATTTACAGCGTGTTTTAACTTTCTACTATATCTGATGCGCATGTGTAATAACATTACGTAATGTTTTTATCTCGCCGGTAAGATGTATATTGGTGTCACATTACGTTTATATGTATTTCAAGATGTAGTGAATGGTCCTTGTTTTTCTCGATGAGCTGTATTAGTAATATTATGGGTTGATAATAAATAATAATAAATATTAGAAAATGTCAGTATCTAACATTATAGATGGTCATTGATAAACGTAGTTACATTGTAACATGTTAACAGGGTATATATAACTGTGATTGTAGAACGCCACTATATAACACACGGACATACTATATAGTCCACAAACAGTAGAGTAACATAGCAATGTTAGTTGTCAATAAAAAGTATAGTTAATTTACCTTGGAAAACTATCAATAAGTTTAGTTAATTGACATTGTAAGCTATTAGTAAAAATAGTTAACATACATTGTAAACATCCAGTAAAGTAGTAAACTTCAAACGTAAATTTTAAGTAAAAGTATAGTTAACTTGCATCATCGCAACTATCACTGTTTAATTCATCTGCATTGTATGTAGACCACAAATATTAATAACAGTATCAGTTGTGCATAATTGACACCATGATCCACCACTAATTAGTACATTATATTGTAGAAGTTGTCAAACTGTCAATAACCAAGCTATCAATAAACAGTATTGTTATACCAATACCGTTAATGATTATTTTAGAATGCTTACGTTATAAAACACATACAAAGATATGTAATGATATATAATGTTGTAAATAAAACTAATTGCATGGTATATAACACGTTCATTAAAATAACTTTTACCTAAACATATAAGTGATCACGTGTTTGACATGAGAACGTTTCTCTCTATTTCTAACATATTATGTTTCGTTGACTGACCTCCGAGGTATCAATATTCCCTTGGTTGAGCTGAATATTATTATTTATATTATTAGAGATCGATAGTTCCCGATTTGTCAATGATTGGGCGATCCCTACAAACAAACGTTAACTTATGTGTTGTAGTATGGTTAAATTTGCAACGATATGGTAAAGTGAGTGAGTATTTTTGGAACAGGTAAACTTACTTATTAATTATAAAGTTGTGATGACGTTTAAGGTGTAATGTATGCTTGTGACCTAGGTGTAATTTATGTTTGTGACCTATGTGTAATTTGTGCTTGTAACCTTTACTGAAGTTTATTTTGTGAAATAAGAAATTGTTTAGATGATGGAACTTTGGTTGACAATATCTTCGTCGGGTTTGGCGATCAACAGACTATTGGAAATAAACTGTGCCTCTTTTACGAGACCGAATCTATGTAGAAGCTTACCAAAACTAGTCACAAAGACTTCAATTTCACTTTCATTTTAGCTACAAGTAAAGGTAGAACAAGAAAAAGCTGACAGAGGACTAGTTCTGAGGTCATCAGTTGTCGCAGCGTTTGTTTGTAGGTGAAAAGTTTGTATTTGGATTAACATTTTGTTTTTGACGTCCCTTCCCTGGTTCCGTACATTTAAGTGTTTAATTTTGATGTTCAACATTTTATGCATTTGTCATATAAAATTAAGGTAGTGCAAACCGTTACAACTTCCTGTTTTTTTCTTAAATTACGTACTCTTATTTATGTATTTTTCAGTGGATTTATCAACTACGTGTTCCTTAGCTATCTATTTAACAGAAACACCCTGTTGTCTGTGGTAGTGGTATAAAAATGAGACAGTATTTAACAGAAACACCCTGTTGTCTGTGGTAGTGGTATAAAAATGGGACAGTATTTAACAGAAACACCCTGTTGTCTGTGGTAGTGGTATAAAACTGGCACAGTATTTAACAGAAACAACCTGTTGTCTGTGGTAGTGGTATAAAACTGGGACAGTATTTAACAGAAACACCCTGTTGTCTGTGGTAGTGGTATAAAACTGGCACAGTATTTAACAGAAACACCCTGTTGTCTGTGGTAGTGGTATAAAACTGGCACAGTATTTAACAGAAACACCCTGTTGTCTGTGGTAGTGGTATAAAAATGAGACAGTATTTAACAGAAACAATCTGTTGTCTGTGGTAGTGGTATAAAACTGGGACAGTATTTAACAGAAACACCCTGTTGTCTGTGGTAGTGGTATAAAACTGGGACAGTATTTAACAGAAACACCCCGTGTCTGTGGTAGTGGTATAAAACTGGGACAGTATTTAACAGAAACACCCTGTTGTCTGTGGTAGTGGTATAAAACTGGCACAGTATTTAACAGAAACACCCTGTTGTCTGTGGTAGTGGTATAAAAATGAGACAGTATTTAACAGAAACACCCTGTTGTCTGTGGTAGTGGTATAAAAATGAGACAGTATTTAACAGAAACAATCTGTTGTCTGTGGTAGTGGTATAAAACTGGGACAGTACATGAATTCGCATGGCTTCAACAGAGGATAGAAAAATGTTTGAAATTTGCTGCCAAAATTAACTTCGATATACTTGATGTCTATCAATATAACTGGGTATTTACTTCTGTTCTTCTCATCGTGAAAACGTAACAAGAATCATAAAAAACTACCCAGGTAAAGCATGTTGTTGATGAAGTATGTATTGTCATGGACTAAATCAGTGGCTTTCTGGCACGTTTTCTAGTCACTGTGTTACTCTTTGTAACGTTACGATAACTTCACTCAATATATTCATAATAATAAAAATCAAACTTATAGGTGTTAGCCACCGGAAGGGTCAGATTGGCACCCTTCCATGAATACGTTATAATGTTATCTATTATTTCTTTAATACTTAACTGGATTGTGTATCGACACATTAAGTGTAACTCGGCGTATAGGACAGCCAGCCGTTATTGTCACGGGCTTAGCACTGTAGTCTCTCTCATATAAAATGTCGTTACTCAAGGACTGGGACGTACAAACATGGGTTTGGTATGTAATTCTGTAATTCTGATTTACTCGTACTTAATGATTTTTTAATATTTAAATTATTAGCAACATGTTTGGTTTAGATTAAATTGGTACATATTATCTATGTGTAATGATATGTTCTGTGTAGTTTTAATGTATCTATGAGTATAGTTTTGATCGCAATAAATGTTTGTATGTATGTAGTGATACGGTGACTATACTTGATTTTGATTCATATTCTATTTTGGTTTGTGGTTTGTTATCTCATCTTAAAAGCAAAACCATGAGTATTGTTAATGTGAGCAGTATTTTAATTCAACATATTCCAGCGTACAATCAGTGTACAGAAAATATCAATTTATGCCTCATAATTAGCTCGTTTCGTGAAAATCATCCTAATCAGATATCTAAATAGATATAAACATGCATTTTCAAGAATTTGAAACAACCAGGAAAAGAAGAAAAACACAGTCTCAAATCCCTCTATTATACGTTTCTGATTTGTCCTGACAAAGTTGACTTTATGTTGGCGTCATAAATCTTAATGAGAAATGAAATGTATGAGTTCAATGAGTTAGAAATTTCCTCTGTACTATCTATTTGTATTGGATAGAAGCATTGCCACAGTAGAGAAAAATATTTTTAAAAATAAACTTCTAATCATTGTCCTTCTTTCCTTAGTGTAATGGGTTATTTTGATATATAGTTAACGGTAGATGTTGTTGATCCCGTCTAATCCGATCCTTGATAAGAGAGTCCCATCCTACCTGTGTGCTCTCGTGCGTACGACTCGATAAGTGATAAAGGGACGTAACCCATGGCATCAGGTAGAAATGGGTAATTGCGTTTTCGCAACAACTGATCAATGCTCGTTAATAGTCCGATAAATGCATAGACATGATTCTTTTTTACATATAATGGATTAAACAGTTCAGTTATTGTTGACATCTAAACAAAGTATGTAAAGGATATATTTTACAATTTTTATAACTTATATATACCATTTTGTAACTTCATTATGTTGCTACTCTATACATTGTCTATTCGCAGTGACAGAGGGAAAAACCGAAATATTGTGTCGCTGTTAGCGATGAAACATGCACTAGTTTATTTTTTTTATTTATGAATAGCCCTTCATTAGTACGGGGTTTTGATTAGGATTATTATGTTCCATTTTCCGACTTCGCCGTAGACGGTACGGATGCCATCTAGCAAAGCATTTGAAATTTTGAAGCCTAGGGGGCGACTAAAGAAAATCCAAAGTGATAAAAAAAACTAGATGGGGAGATACAAAAGCCAAATAATTAAATAAATTTTGTAATTTTCATACATCAGATAATTTTAGTATAGCGTCAAGTACATGTATATTTTCTGAACCGTGCCACTATTCGAGTGAATTAAAACGTGGCAAGCAGGTAACGGCGACCTCGGGGACAAAGTCCACCAGCAGTGTCTACCACTATTTTAAAGATTGTACATAAGACACACATCATACATCATGAAGAATAGTGTTTTACAAATAACTACTTTAAACGCAAATTCCTTTTGTTATCCACTGACTGCTTGTAAAAACATTGGTAAAATTGTATATGTCTTTTTTCAAATAAAATTTTGATGAGATCCCATCTTTATCACACAATTTCCAAAATAACAAACAAATACAAAAAATTCCTTCACGAGTTTATTAATAAAATCAAATGCTTTTAACAGAATGAAGAATATCTATTTTAAAAATGTGAGAAAAGGCTGTTTCACATCCGGAATGGTTCCATTTGTCCACGTTTGAATTGTTTGAACTACTTGTCCTGATCATTGGTTTTTTAAGCTTAGCTTAGTCTGCTTTTTATAACTTAAATTTTAAATTTCAGTTTTAACCTGATCATTATTTTGAGTACCTTTGTCGGCGTTTTGAATTTATTCTTAATGCTCAATTTGTGTTTGTGATGCTTTGACGTGCCGTATCTGTTAAAAAACACGATAAACTCATTTTTATTACAGATTGAGTGATATCCTCTGAAATGCGTATAGACATCGGCTTGTTATTAAGTCCGTTACAAAGTCTGGGTATTTTTATTAAATCAAAATAGCTGAGACTAAGAATAACACTAACCTAATACAACTTTATTTAACACATGCTCAACCGTCCCTACTATCTGTAGTACGAAGACAGATTGCAGAGATTAACCTCCCTGTGTTTATAGGAATCAGGACGTACAGTGGCAAAACTTTAATCATACAATACGATACAATCACATGTAGTACGGTTACACCTGAAGTAACAACAGGTTTACAATATGTGGAGTGACAGAGCAGCATATATATATATGTTAGTCCTGACCCTGTTCAGGTCCTGTAGCCTGTTTGCTAATGTCCTTCAATAAATCTAGTGACAATAAAAATAACATAGTGTAGAATTTTTGAAATGGTCATTTATTAATGCCATAAGAATTTAAATGCCAATACATATTAACATTTGTTGGCATAAAATGTAACAGTTATTTCTTGCCAATATCCATCTTTAATATTGAAGAGCATTAAAGATGGCTACAATTATTGGCACGCCAAGGGTAAAAAACCCGAGATCAAACTTGGGAAGAGTTGAGAAACCCTGGAAAACAATCTGGCATTCATTGCAACAAAATTGAAAAAGACAATGATGAAAACTGCATACAAACATATCAAAATAATAAAAACATCAAAACTACAAACATGTCACGTTTGGGTGAGAGCACAAAGTTGTGGGTTATCTCCACACTAGCTCTCAATATCAGCAAAATTTCTACGGGTGTTTTAAAACTTGATTAGACTACCTCAAACAGAACTGAATAGACACGCGTACCCTCACGCGAGTGCCCTACTGGGGTCGTTCCTCGTTGGTCGAGAATCTGGCTAACATTGGAAGTGACCAATGAGGACACAACAGAGATGGTGATCACGCGTTAATGCGTACCCCAGTTGGGACCATCCCTTACCGGTCAGCCCTGCTACAGCCACTGACCAATGAGTAAAGACAAAGGAAGTGATCAATGACACTAAAATAAGGCTACACGTGCACTGATAATAGTTTCTCAGATCAATAGATCAATGATTCTAAAATAAAGCTTCACGTGCACCGATAATAGTTTCACAGATCAATAGATCAATGATGTTAAAATAAGGCTACACGTGCACTGATAATAGTTTCACAGATCAATAGATCAATGATGCTAAAATAAGGCTACACGTGCACTGATGACAGTTTCACGGATCAATAGATCAGTGGTGCTATGAAGATAGAACAGTTTTATCATAGTACTTAGAATAAGGAAACAAGTCCGTTTCACACACTGCTCATTTCATTGTTGTTGGTCAAGCACGCTATACTAATATATTTTCTTCTTTTCGTTTACAGAAAAAACGATTGTTGTGTATTTCAATGTCATTTACGGCTGGCATATTTGTAATTATGTTCAAGTCCGGAGTTGAAACACCAGCATCAAAACGACCATGGCCCTTCATTACCCTAAACCAAAGACAAACAGCAACCAAGGCGAGATTCTTAGTTGAACTCCCCTTGACTCCCGTACCAGAGCGACCAACAGTTCCATTAGACACTTATATTGTATTTGACTGTGGTGACCTGCATCCGGGACCGTGTGGTGGTTGGTCGGATCGCATGTCCGGCATGTTCAGCGCTTACGTCATTTCCGTTTTACTAAAGAAACGTTTCCTTGTGACTTACTCACGACCAAGTAATTTTACAGATTATATTATTCCCAATTCATTTGATTGGAGATACAACTCCTCTATTCTTTCTGGTCGAACTTCTTTATTTCTGAATTTCTTCTGCAGAGTTCCAGTTCCTATTAGAAACAAGGATACTAAAAGTCTTGGTAATATTTTTAAAGCTGACGTCACTTTTGTTCGTATGAACTGGGATTACACTTTACACTTTAGAAGATTTAAAAGTCTACATAAAGCTATCCCATGGATTTTTAATTTACAGTTTGCTGATATCTATGTAAAATTTTTCAACACACTCTTCAAACCTGTTGACGATATTGTCGAAACTATAAATAAGACATTAAGATCTGTAACAAAGCTAGCATGCGCTCACATTCGTATGGGCGGAAATGAAACTCAAGATCACCAAAGAACAGACAGAAAACAGCTGATACACATATGGAATTTTCTCAAGACAAAGGAGGATAATTATAGTATCTTCATTGCAACAGACTCCGAGTTGGTGCGAAATACAGCCAAATCATTATTCAAACAGATCCTGGAGGTCAAGGGTCGTATCCTACATATAGACCAAAATCCTGCTGGGAGCGGTGTTACTAATGGTTACAAAAAAGTAGCGACAGATTTTTTTCTTCTTTCGAAATGTGATGTTTTGATGTTAACGAGGAGTGGATTTGGAATGATGTCCGCCTACTTGAATACCAATAATCCCAGTCTATACTGCCTAGTGAAAGATGAGGTCGTGCCCTGCTCGCGTTATACACTGCACAATTACTACCCTGGCGAAATACTTTCCCCATACTAGTAAACAAGAAACTCGTTATCTCCAACTTCGAAATTGGCTAATGTAAGACTTATGAGCTGTAGACTAAACAATATAAGATTTGTGAAATAAACTAATACCGGGCTAGCGTCTGCTTTGTTATCTGGTAACGAAAACCTGGTTAATGTCCGTTCTGTTAACGGGTGGCCACCATTGATTGACGAGTGTAATAGATATTGATGTTTTGTGATTATGATAAATGGCCAGTTAAATTAAAAAGGAAGACATGGAAGAATGAAAATAAAGGGAGGAGAGATGGAGGAATAGAAGTACAATCACAGATGTATATATATAGTGCATTTTCTCCTGATAGGAAATTGATGTCCGCGTCAGATGAAAATAATAAGATTTATCTTGTGACTTTAGTCCACATGTGGACGTCGAAAGGTTATCAGCATAATTTATCAAATATTTTACGAGTGTATTTGTAATAGATACATATTGGGCACGAGTAATGTATCTGATATATCACACGAGTTCGAAGGATGAGTGTGATATATCCGATACATTACGAGTGTCAATTATATATCTGTTTTATCCAATGACCACCGAGGTTTTCTCATCCACGTGCCAAGGGGCGGAGCTAAAGCCGATTAGTGTCAAGTGTCAAGTCGATGATTTTCCCGCTATTTTATGACCCATCCCATTTTCTGTTACAGTAAAATTCATTTCATTAGTAGATGTCAGAGATATCGGAGCTGGACAACGTATGGAAAGACTTTAGAAACATCGAAGCCGGTGTTTGTTCGAAATCTTTCCTTTGTCTTTGTTTATCTGTCTCGCCCACTTGGAAATGGGGTGGACAAATCAGAGAGAACCATGCGATATTTTAGATATCACATATGTGATCACATGGCATGGGATTTATCACCAGGAAAAGATCAAAGAAAAACTAAGGTGTCATTGGATAACTTAAATAAAACAACATCCTCGATACTCGATGACTTTCGCTCTCAGCACCCCTGGGACATTTCATTACAAATTGAAGGCACAAACTGAGTCATTTGATTGGTCTAGAGCAGGTTGCAGTACAAAAAACTGACCAATCAAAGACTTACACGCTCCTTTGAAGATCACAAAGGAGCGGCACCCAATTTCAAATCCAATACAACACACCGTTACGCGACCCCGAGATTCGCTTGATGTACACCAAAGAATCAAATTATTCTTCTCGTCTTATCCACGAGGTATTCCACATGGAATCTTCCATTTTGCCATGAAATGTTCCAGGGATGCAGAGAGTGAAACTGGTCGTAGATAATAGATTTATCGGAGACTTCTACTTTGCTTGTTGCCGTGCCATCGGCTGTATCAGTCTCGAGTCTGTCTGAAACACTTTATATCGTGTAATTATAAAGTCTTATACTTAAAACAATACTAACATATCACTATTCGCCACTTACCCATAGCTGTCAATAGCGACACCACACTACAACAAAAACATAACATTCCTAGACCAGCTGAAATCTGGCCGAACGGCATGCTCGACGCGAACATAGCAAAAGAACTACACAAAAAACAACATAGTTATTCTGGAACTAGCAGAGATATCTCAAATATAATTTATTAATCTATATTTGTATTCATATATTTCCAGATAATGCAATATGACTATGGTTTCTATTCATGTCACGTAAAATGCAATGTATTAACATAACTTTACAAATGGAACGGAAGTGAGCGACGTATGAAAACCGTGCTACATGAGGGTAACTAATTCTTCATGAGCTGAACCCAGGAATCTTAAACCATGGCGGATTTAAAAATAATTGAATAAATATGTACATGTTGATATCCATATAAATATTAATATATACATACACTTGCTGAATAAATGATAATTGATATTAAAAAAACAAAATTTGCTAGTTTTCAAAAGGATATTACCTATTACTACTATTAATTTATACATAACAAATATTGTGATTGGTTTCTACTTTCTTTTGTAACTCTCTTTGTTCACATCACAAACATTATCTAGTTCATGCGATACTACAAATCCGTTCCGTTATTATGTGAAACATCGTGTTTAACAAAGAAAATTACTTTTACTGCACTCATGAGTCAAACACCAAGCAATCGCATTTACTGTGCTTACATGTTAAAAAAACAACTGTATGGATGGAAGCAAAACATCTGTTGATGCTGAAATGTAGTGCACGTGTTGCTGCAGTCCGTGCACCTGTCCTGTGTTTTATAATCATTATATGCTGTTTACATGTCGATTACTTCCTAGTTCCGATTTAGACCATTTCTTAAATATGTCTGTTGAAATTTGAAATTATCTGTTGATACTAATAACTAAACCACTACATAGGGGTAGACTTATCCTTGAGAGCCGTTAAAAAGTTGAGAGAAGTTATGCTATTTCCATCTAATATAGAATCTAACAGTTATAGATTTTCTTTACGTATGGTTAATACCTGGAGTTTCATCTTTAAAATACGTTGCTTAAACCAGTTTAACTTTTATTTTCAAATATTTTTTTACATATCTCAATGAGAGTTTGAATTCTTTGTTTATTCTTATGTATAAAGTTGATGTATTCACAACATATTTCCACCGTCATTATCAAGACCAATCTTAGATAAGTAAACTTTTGAGATGTGAGGGTATAAGGTCAGTTTAAACGGCTTTCCTTTATCCAGATAATTGTATATATCACAAGTAGAGGTGTAGTACGTTTACTTTGGTCTAATTTGAATTTAAATTAAGATTCTGCTAACATGTCGGTATTTTTTTTTCTTAAGTAATTCGACACAATTTGCAGAATATGTAAACAATTACTATATAAGATAGATAAATACACATTCCCATTTTACTTCAGAAATCAAATTTCCATTTTCCATGGAAACAGACTAAAATGACTGGTAAATACCCAGATTTGACGGTTTGAAGACGCTTAGCTTTTGAACCCATTTGCAATTAAAATAACGCTTTCTATGGATCTTAGTTTGTAAAGAACATCGCAAGAGTTATTTCCCTTACTCCTCGTTACGCATACATTCGTATTGCCGACAGCTGAGGAACAACTTATTTTGTGAAATTGTTTTCTACTTCTTTATACCAGAAGCACTACTGTATGACACAGAGCGCTATTAAGACAAAACATCAAAAGATTGTACAAAAGACACAAATTATTAACACAAATTTATAGTACGATAAAGAACACCAGACAATGATTCAAACTGCATCGTACTGCTGTTTCGTCCTTCTAGGACTAATCAATGATACTAGGGGCCTAAATTTTGAAGCCTAGGAGGCGACTGAGAAAAATCCAAAGATCGAAAGAGAAGTCAAAATCTGGATGAGGTAGGTACAATAGCCCCTTAATTCAAAAGATTGCGAAATTTTGACATATCTGATGATTTTCCAAAAACGTCAACATGTACTTTTTAGAGATAATATCAGTTTCACAAACCGATGGGTATTTTACCCACGTAAGTTTTATTTACGATGCGGTTAAATGTGACGTAATGTAATATCCTTTATTAAATGCTACTCTTTCTGTCAAAACTGATGATTGTTTATGGATTGGTTAAAATGCTAAATTATGCCTTGGGATCTGTATGTAACATCCGCCTATTTTGTTAGAAAAATATATACTGTATATTGTTAAATTAAACTATTGTTTACAACAAGAAAGGAACATGAAAATGATAGTTAACTTTTCTTTTTTAAATACCAACATATGTAGGTATTGGATATCGTATATATATATATATATATATATATATATTGTATTGTGTCTTTTTAAAACCATTTTTGCTTTTAATTATTTATACAGAAAGTAAAAGAGGGACAGAAAGCTAACACCTAACATATGTAACGAAACATGCTTGGAGAAGTGTTGTTATCTCACGTACATATAAAACGTATAAACAATAGTGTAATGGGTCAATTATATATATCGTCTTGAATTCAAATGTATATTACTCCAGTATTGTCTGTCACATGCGATATATTCTAATTGGACTGTAGAGGGGACAATATAATCAGCTGATCAGGGTGTAATATAACCATTCACAGACCTGTTACGCACTATGGATATACAACATACAAGGATCACCCGATTGTTCATGATAAGCTTAACAAATAGGAAAACAAGAATCTTTCACATAGAAACATTCAATTCAAAATTCTTTTTATTTTAGAGAGATTACAAATAATCATTTGAAGACAAGAAGCAAAATAAATATTTATAAATTTTCATGAACTTTTCAGAAAAATCTAGTGTAAACATTAGCGATTTTAGCTGGTTAAGCATACCAGACACCGGCCAAATGACCTCGCTGCATTTCCTACTGATAATTCAAGTAGTATTGTGGTACTGAACATTTTTTAACATTAATCCCGTATCACGAGGCTATATATATTACAGGTGTGTTGTGGACATCTGCAGAAATGGTATGTATTAAGATAGGAGAGTGTGAAAAAGGATTCATTATAAGTTAATGTACTGGGACACTCGTATATCAATCAATCATATAAATGTTGGTATGTTTTATTACAAAATATTCTGTGACTAATACAACAATTAATTGTCTGATTTCTGTCATTCAATAATCCGATTTATCTTTTCATTATTCATTATGTTCTGTTTTAGCCATGCATTTTATCTTTTGAAAAAGCGACAGCATCCTTATATTTCTGAATTAAAAATAGTAGAATAACTAAGATAAATAATTAGGTTAAAACTACTTATATAACTACACATTACTAACCTCAAAGTCAATCAACATGTTGTATTTAAGTCTACATTCCAGCAGTCCTTACTTGTTCATCGTATTTGTACACCACGTACGATACTTAAATTTTATCATACTCAACTGATTACCATCACATATGTTTTATTATTATCATTATTTGTATTATATATATAATTAAAAATACCAAACAAAATCCCGATAAGAATATGTAACAGGACATAAACATTGTCGTATACACATGTTCCGGATCATAACGTACAGCTGGTGTTGTAAGATATACTTCATAAATATCATCTCGTGCTCAATTTAAAATTACTAGATGTTATATTAATTGTAATTAATGACTTTCCTAGTTTGCTGTTATTTTCGCATAACCTGACAAGAAGAACTGAGTTATGGTGTCTACTGTGGTCCGAGTTGTATAAACACTGGTGAAATGTGGATATTAGACTTTTATACAGCAGAGTGATTGCCTATTTGAGTGATGTGCAATAATCGTTTCTCTTTTTATTTGTCTCGAATATTTTTTTATTTTTTTACATGCCCCTACGCCATAAGTCCTAACGCGTTCCTATCAGGATTACACAGATTTCAGTCTTTTAATAACAAATATTGAAAAATTAAAAAAAAAACAACCACCTTATATAATGGCTATATGTATATCTATATATATAAGTTTGACACACATGAATTGTCTCCCTTTGAATCTCGCCCTTAAGGCGGATCTGCATAAAGATATTGCAAATTGGATATTGCCCGTTTGTAAATGAGATAGAAGATATCTCACTATTTAAGATTATTCCTACACCTGCTATGCCTTGTTATTGTTTTACAGAAGAAGCAGACTTTGTTCCTGTCCTTAGTAATTCTGGCTATAGTGGTGATGGTGTCGTTCATGATGGGGTATAAAATGTCAACGTCAAAATTTCTACCATCTGTCGCATCGCAGTACCAGGACAATATTGAAACTAGCACAACTTCGTTACCCGACCCGCCTATATCAACAATAATTCCTCCGGTGAAGGGCTACATTGTTTATGATTGTGATGACCAACATCCAGGACCATGTGGGGGTTGGTCAGACCGTATGGCTGGTATATACAGTTCCTATGTCATATCCGTTTTACTTCGTAGGCATTTTCTTATAAGGTGCACAAGATCTTTTAATCTGTCCGATTATCTTGTTCCGAATTTATTTGACTGGAAATATAATTCGTCTATTCTAACAGGCAGATCTTGGGACTATCAGGATTTCTTTAGCAAAACTCCAAATGCTCTAAAGAAAGATGATTTAAGTAATCTCAGAAGACTTTTCCCTCATGATGTCGATTTTGTTCGTATGAACTTGGACTACACTGAACGCTTTAGATATTTCCACGTTCTACCTAATCTTATTCCGTGGGTTTTAGAATTACACTTTGCAGATATTTTCCTGAATTTTTTCAACACTTTTTTTCAACCAACTCAAAGTATTTCTCAAACAGTAAGCAAATTCGTACAGAATGAAAAACTACTGGCATGCGCTCACATAACTGTTGATGTGAAGAAAAAGATAATCGGAAACGAAAGATACGACAACAAGGAGCAACTGGACCTCATCTGGAATTTACTGAAGGTAATGATGGCAAGCAATTACAGCATCTTTGTATCAACAAACTCTAAAGCCGTGAGAAATACGGCAAATACACTGTTCACAAACCTCCTCGAAGTGGAAGGACCAATCCTGGATATAGATAAGCCTGTAGGTGGAAGTGGGTTGGTCGATGGTTCAAGAAAAGTAGTTACAGAGTTTTTAATTCTCGCAAAATGTGATGTTTTAGTTTTAACGAAGAGTGGTTTCGGGATAATGGCGGCCTACCTTAATAACAAGACTTCTGATATTTACTGTTTAACGACAAATGACCTTGTGCCATGCTCTCGATATACCATATATAGTTTCTACCCCGATGAAATATTTTCCCCCGTTTAGTAAACCGGGGCCTACTGAAAGTCAATCTTAAGGGTCGTGAAAGGAGCCTTCCAAACTTTAGCAAGTACGTCGATCATCAGACGATTCCAGTGTTAATCCTATTATCCAAGGTGGTGCCATGACTAAATAATCTCTGATTTTCCAATGTTTATGATAAAAAGAACATTACAATGTTTAAGTAGTGAATAAAGTCTGCGGACAACATTGGAACTCGAGTATGACTCCTACTGCCCAAACTGGTGCCAACTATCCATCTAATTTTTGACGGTCCAGTGATCATCCAGTTTACTGAAATCTTATCTGTTGAATAATTCCAGAGTTTTAAAATACGTCCGAAGCTGTCTAACATTTTTATATGATTTCTGTTGAATCAGACTGATCCGAGCTAATGAAAATAGGGGCTTGTCCATATAATGATGGCACATGGTCTAAACACCTCTTGTATTATCTAAATAGCAATGGTATATTCCAAACACCTCATCTATTGTTCAAATAACAATGGTACGTTCCAACCACATTATGTATTGTCAAAATAACAATGGTTCATTCCAAACACCTCTTGTGTTGTCAAAATAGCAATGGTACTTTCCAAACACTTCATGTATTGTCAAAATAACAATGGTACGTTCCAAACACCTCATGTATTGTCTAAATAACAATGGTTCATTCCAAACACCTCTTGTGTTGTCTAAATAGCAATGGTACGTTCCAAACACATCATGTGTTGTCTAAATAGCAATGGTACGTTCCAAAAATATCATGTGTTGTCTAAATAGCAATGGTACGTTCCAAACACATCATGTGTTGTCTAAATAACAATGGTACGTTCCACCAGGATCACGTGTACAGATTTCAGCAAAAATAAGGAATCATTTTTGATATACTGATAATGCTTGATACTGTATATTTATGGATGCGAGATGTAGTTAATCAGTATATTGTAAAACATACATGATTTCCTGGGATAAATCACGAATTATGGAGCAACGCAAATGCAGACAAAGCATGCAGATATTTTCCATTGTTATAGGTGTGGACGATACAAGCTCCAAACACCTATTTCACCTATGAAGAGTACAGAGTCATTTTTGTGAGTATACTGATATATATATCAATGGACACAAGATGTCATGAACCTGCAATGCGGATTCATAGCATGATGAGGTCTTTATCAGTACGTCTCGTCATACTTTAACATAAAATGTTTTCGTGGTGTTCCATGGGTAGATAGTACTGTTAATATCCACTAAATGCCTTTTTTGGTTGGTATATGATAAGTCACGAATCAAAATTTTACAAGAAAACTTCATATTTTACAGTATCTCTTCTGCGCAGGATCAAAATCGAGCACGTGACCAACCCTTATATTCTGAGTAAAATGATAGGTTGCTGTCGTGCAAATCTCATCCGTGTGAGGCATTAAATATCAATTTTGTTGATAATTCATTGTGTCCTGCAGATAAGGGGATACATTGTGTCCAAATAACTACTATTACATAGATATGTCTTGAGTACTGGCTGTTCAAGTGATATTCGGGTATCAAAAGGCATGCAGTAATAATGCCTTTCTTAAGTTATGTAAGTAAAAAGAGTTGGGTTTCTTGTACATTGTGATTAACATTAACATATTTTTCGAGATTATGAAGGGAGGCTGTCATATAATTGTCGTATGATGATTAAATATAGCTTAAATGTTCCGGTTTCGTATATCTTTCAGGTTTATTTAGATTATTTTCATTTCTTGAACAGTTTATTGCGACGTTAGATTTCTCAGCAACAGCGAGCATGCGTGTTTTCTGTATGCTAGAAACATAGACTGCTCTCAAAGTGAAAAAGGCTGTTTTTCATGTTGATAGATTTAAATTAAGATTTTGTTAACATGTACTTTCTAGCTGTTAGTTTTAAGGATCAAGACTCATTTGATATATGCTGGTATTGTTGAAACATATTCCAATGTTATAATTCTGATAATAACAAGGATATATACATATGAAAATTTATTTTTATTAATGTACAAAATTTGGTGCTTGAATATTAAAGTTTCTTCCAGCCTACAATGTGTACCCTATTGATGTTTTTCTATTTTCAACAAGTCTTCCAGGACTTTCTCCACGAGGGATTCGCTGGCTTCCTCGAAACCTTGAAAACAGAAAGGTCTTAATGAATTTTGTACCTATCTATGGAGTGGCAAAACAAATCAACGTCCATAATAAATACCATTATAATGTTGATTAGCAAATTCGAGTAGCATAAGTATTCCAAAGATAAAAACGCTGAATTTTTTAATCTGTACCATATAAACAGCATTCCGAATACACAGAATATTATAGGACCTTCGTTTCATTAAAGTGCCTCAGACCTCTCGCGGTCAGTGATTTTCTAAATGTTTAGATATACGAAAATCTCTCTATATATCATTGCTATAAGCGAATAATTCGTCAACAAGAATTTCTAGTTTTATTGATGAGAAGCAGAGTCTACTATATCACTAACAGTAATACTATCACATATGGAATGATAGACAAAGGGGAAGCTGTTCACCACCGTCATTATAATGATATACAAACGCAAATACAAACATTTATATAATGAAGCATAAGACGCTTGCAATTCCGGAACACTTGGGTCCGTAATACACATTCTGCGCTCTGACTCAAATACATTAAGTAATATCTTAATCGACTCTTTTCAGTTGAAGAAATTTCGAAAAAAAAGGAATAATTTGAAATATCATTTTCGATGTTCAGTTTTCCCTTTTACTCGAAGAGGAAAACGAACAAAGAAAAGTATCATTAAAGTAAGAGCTGGTATTCCGGAAGAGCAAGCGGCTTCTGTGCCATCGAGAGCATCCACCATGAAGAGCTCTAAATAAACAGAGAGAAGCATACGCTTATCTTCTATTCAGTGGAGACGTTAGAGATGATAGATAAAGGTAAAACCTACTTCGGCATGTTTTACAGCATTCCTTAAAATAGTGTTCACAGAAGGTGACAGGGTTGTCATATAAGGCTAGGCGATCCTGACACGTCTCAAATCCCATATTCTTATCTTTACACCTGCCCTTCATGTCTGTAACACAGAATCAATATACATGTAATGAGGACAAATATCAGACAGAGACCTGAAGCTTTCATTGAAAATTAATCTCACTTCATTTTAACTTGTATGGTATCAGAAAGGTTACTTGTCAACGCATGATGATAACGTATTGAGGAAAATGTCTCCCTGTCTTTTATGATGGTTATCGTGGTTGTCGGGTTAGTGAAAGTATTTTTTTCCACAATTTGAAATGAAAAATAAATTATGTGACTCTAACTTACTTTCTTAACTTTTTTAAAATTTCCAATATAGTCTTTCAAACCTTATCCTGATTGATACAGATGAGTTTATCATAGTATCTCCCGGCAAAAACCTCGTCATTATGCGTTTTTCTCTATAACGATGACAATCTATCAACAACGCTGGTTTTCGACATTTGTGTGACAATTATTCAAATAAATATCAATTAACTCAACAGTCATAGAGGCAGGGGCCTGAAAGAAATTTAGATAGATTAATGTCGTTAGGTCAATACTCAATATGTTGAGTGTATGAGGAGAAGAAACATCACAAAAGACACACAAGTGAATATTAGATTTGAACACAAATCTGAAATTAGATATAAATGAGTCTAATAATGAACTAAACTGCATCGTACAGCTGTTTCGTCCTTCTAAAACTCGTCAGTGATGCTACATCACACAGCTGTTTCGTCCTTCTAAAACTCGTCAGTGATGCTACATCACACAGCTGTTTCGTCCTTCTAAAACTCGTCAGTGACACCACAAATCTTAATTTTGAAACCCATGAGTCGAATGAGGTAGATCACAATTTACAAATTACAAATTCTAATGGGGAATTAGAAGCCACATAACAAAATAACTTTGGTAATCTTCATATATCTAGTAAATTCAATAGAACCATAGATACGTGCGTACATTCTGAACCGTGAACAAATTACAGCTGATTATAGATCGTCCTTAAATCCCTTCCAAAAAGTTACAAACCATTGATAGATACAAATCACTGAATAGCAATTAATCTGTACACCGAACAGAGAGAAACACTAGCATACATGATTTAGTGTTTATTACCGTACCTTTGTTTTTACGGACCACGCCTCCTAGAGTCGGTCCAAAAGCCAGTATTGCTATGAACAACGTCAAGAATAAGCGGTTCATGTTGTGTATATTCACTTCGCTTTCTGTGAGAAATCAAACTCACGAGCTCTTAAATAGTCAACCCGCGACTGACCGAATGGGGTGGATCCGGAGGCGGATTTTGGACAATACACAGTGACCATGTATAAGTAGGCCCAATTAGATCAAATTCATCATTATCGTCCCAGTTATACAGAGATAACAACTGGACAGCTGTTCTCGGGTTATCATCAATAATAAACGCTTTATAAATTACTGAGTACCAATCCTTATTATACCTCCATCCGAATTTCATGTCATAACCCCACAGACTAACAGACTAAGACCTACATTGTATCTTGGTCCGAACAGGAAAATGTAAATTGCTTTATTGTGGCATTTTATTCACAGCGTCTAACCTGTATCTAATTCTGTATCGTGTGTCAATGTGTCACACTTCCAAATTAAGATGGTTATGAGCTATATATATGTTTGAGTATTTTTTCTGTCTGATTGATCAAAATGATTTTGATAGATTTGCAAAACTTGTCCGAAGTATACGCCGGTGACATAAAGTGACACAGATTATGCTGAAGGCCACAAAGACTTCAGAAAGAGCTTGCTTGTAACACTATTCGTATTTTGCAATACATCATACCAATTAACGCCACCTTCAATCTATAGGTAGACCCCATTCGCCATATACACTAAAAGCCGGTGAACGATGTGCTGTAAATGATGTTCCTTAAGTTTTGAAATACGTAGAAATCGAACAAACTTGGTCCATATAAGTTATCAATCAGTATATTTGTTGTACATCTA